GTAATAATTCTGTTTTAAATGTCTGGTAGAATTCCCCAGGGAAGCCATCTGACCCAGGGCTCTTATTTGTTGGGAGATTTTTTGATAACTGATTGGATTTCCTCACAAGTTATGAGTCTGTTCAGATTTTCTATCTCTTCCCGTGTGAATTTTGGTAGTGAGTGTGTGTTTAGGAATTTGTCTGTTTCTTCTAGGTTGTCCAATTTCTTGGCATATAATTTTTCAGAGGATTCCCTGATACTTGCTTGTATTTCTGAGAGGTTAGTTGTAATAAGACCATGAAAGTCATTCATGATTTTGTCTATTTGAGTGCTCTCTGGTTTCTTTTTGAGAAGCCTGGCTAGAGGTTTGTCAATTTTGTTTATTTTTTCAAAGAACAAACTCTTGGTTTCATTTTCTGTTCAACTGTTTCTTTGGTTTCTCTATTGTTTTTTCCTGCTCTGAGTTTTATTATTTCTCTTCTCCTACTGGGTTTGGGGTGTTCTTGTTGCTCTGCCTCTAGTTCCTTTAGGTGCACTGTTAGATTTTGCACTTGCGCTTTTTCTAATTTCTTGAAATAGGCCTGGAGCGCAATGTACTTTCCTCTTAGGACTGCCTTTGCCGCATCCCATAGAGTTTGGATTGTTGTATTTTCATTTTCATTTGTTTCCATATATCCTTAAATTTCTTATCTGACTGTTTGATTGGCCCATTCGTTCTTTAGTAGGGTGTTCTTTAACCTCCATGTTTTTGGAGGTTTTCCAGACTTCTTCCTGTGATTGATTTCAAGTTTCATAGCATTGTGATCTGAAAGTGTGCATGCTATGATCTCAATTCTTTCATACTTATCGAGGGCTGCTTTATGTCCCAGTATGTGATCTATCTTGGAGAATGAGCCATGCGTGCTTGAGAAGAAAGTGAATTCTATGGGGTCTCAGGATGTAGACTTCTAATATATATATATTTTTCTATTTCTAGGAGAGAGAGAGACAGCGTGAGCAGGGGAGGGTCAGAGAGAGAGGAAGATACAGACTCTGAAATAGGCTCCAGGCTCTGAGCTGGCAGTCAGCACAGAGACGAACGCGGGGCTCGAACCCACGAACCGCGAGATCATGACCTAAGTGAAAGTCGGACGCTTAACCGACTAAGCCACCCAGGCGCCCCAGGATGTAGACTTCTAAATATATCTGTCAGACATCTGGTCCAATGTGTCATTCAAGTCCATTGTTTCTTTAGTGATGTTCTGTCTCATGATCTATCCATTGCTCTAAGTGGAGTATTAAAGTCCCCTGCTATTAGCACTTTCTTACACATAAGATTGTTTTTGTTTGTGATTATTTGTTTTATGTATTTGAGTGCTCCCCTATTGGTGCATAGACATTTATAATTGTTAGTTCTTCCTGATGGATAGACCCTGTAATTATTATATAATGCCCTTTTTCATCCCTTGTTATTGTCTTTAATTTAAAGTCCAGTTTGTCTGATAGAAGTATAGCTACTCCAGCTTCTTTTTGACTTCTAGTAGCATGAGAGATATTTCTCCATCCCCTTACTTTTAATCTGAAGGTATCTTCCAGTCTAAAATGCGTTTCTTGTAGACAGCAAATAGATGGAGTTTTTTGTTGTTGTTGTTGTTTTGTGTGTGTGTGTGTGTGTTTTTTTTTGTCCATTCTGCTATCCTATGTCTTTTGATTGGAGCATTCAGCCCATTTACATTCACTGGTATTATTGAAATATATGGGTTTAGAGTCATTGTGTCGTTTGTGGGATTCATGCTTGTGGTGGTGTCCCTAATATCTTGTGTTCCTTGCAACATTTCCCTCAGGGAGTCCCCCTCAGGATTTCTTGTAGGGCTGGTTTAGTGGTGACAAATTCTTTCAGTTTTTATTTATTTGGAAAGACTTTTATCTCTCCTTCTATTCTGAATGACAGGCTTGCTGGATAGAGGATGCTTGGCTGCATATTTTTTCTATTCATCACACGGAAGATCTCCTGCCATTCCTTTCTGGCCTGCCATGTTTCAGTAGATAGGTCTGTCACCACTCTGATAGGTTTCCCTTTGTATGTTAGGGTCCTTTTCTCCCTAGCTGCTTTCAGAATTCTCTCTTTGTCCTTTTATTTTGCCAGTTTCACTATGATATATCGTGCAGAAGATCGATTCAAGTTACTTCTGGGGGGAGTTCTCTATGCCTCTTGAATTTCAACATCTACTTCCCTCCCCAGGTTGGGAAAGTTCTCTGCTATAATTTGTTCCAGGATTCCTTCAGCACCTTTCCCTGTCTCTTCCTCTTCTGGAATTCCTATGATACAGATATTGTTCTGTTTGATTGTATCGCTGAGCTCTTGAACTCTTCTTTCATGTTCCTGGATTAGTTTATCTCTCTTTTTCTTAGTTTCTTCTTTTTCTATAATTGTGTCTTCTAAATCACTTATTCTCATTTCTGTCTCTTCAATCCGTGCATTGGATGCCTCCAGTTTATTATGTATCTCATTTATAGCATTTTTAATTCATCATAACTATTTTTACGCTCCATGGTGTTTGTAGCCATAGTTTCTCTGATGTCTTTCATGCTTTTTTCAAGCCCAGCGATTAATTTTATGATTATTTTTCTAAATTCTTGTTCAGTTATGTTGCTGATATCTGTTTTGAGCTGTCCTTTAGTGGTCGATTCTTCTTGGAATTTCTTTGGAGGAGAGCTCTTTCGTTTCGTCATTTTGGTTAGCTTTCTATCTCTTGTTAATTTTAAAAGCTTGTTGTACACTCTGTCCCTGCCAGTTCTGCTGTATTAAAGAGGGTTCTTTGACTGTTCAGGGCCTGTCTGTTCAGGAAGTGTTCTTTGAATGGTGTCTCTTGGTTTCTCTTGTTGAGTGTTTGGTTATTTTGTTTCCCTACTCGTAGAGGTATTTGGGACTCTCCACCATGTGTAGTTTGGCTTGTTTCTTGAGTTAGCCCTGGAAAAAGAAAACAGACAACCACAGAGGGAACAAAGGTACACAAACACACAGACAAAACCAATAAACACGCAAACCCAGGCTCAGGTAAAAACAACAACACCACCACCAACAAAACAGCTCTCTAGCGGGGATAGGCGTGGTTTGGTGTAGGCAGGTCTGGCCTCCACTGTGTCTGCTGGCCGCTCCCTGAGGCCCTGCCTTGGTGGTTGTGGGTAGAAGAATGGTGTTGCCCCAGTCCCTTCTCAACCAAGCGTTGCAAATCACTTCTTCGGATCCAATCTTCCTGTGCTGAGGATGTAGCCAGGGTGGGCTGAGTTCTATGCCCTGCCACGTTCCCAAGTCCCAGTCCGTGGGCTTTGTTTATGCTGCCCTAAGCAGTCCCGCAGGTTGCTGCTTCCCTGCTGCCTGGGGTTGAGTGGGGAGTGGGGGAAGTGTCGCTGCCTCAGATCCGCTGGAGTCTAGCTGCAATACAACCCGAGTGCATGTGGGGAACGTAGCAACTTCAGGTCCTCAGAGTCCGCGCCGCCGTCAGGACAGGGGGTCACCATCGCCCAGGATGGGGCCGCTTCCGCACCACCTGACCGCCATCACCAGATATGGGGCCGGGTGCGCTACAGTGCAGTTTTTTCTGGCACCTTCTGGGACCGGGGGCACCTAGTTCAAAGTGAGCATCCCAGGCAGAGTTAAAAAACACTCTCTTTCCAAGCCAAGGTTCTTCTCTTCTCCACGGACGGGTCTATGAGCAGCTTCAACTTCTCTATCCTTTCCCCTCTACTTGCTGCAGCTCACCACGGCTCACCGCAGCTGCACGCAAGCCGGGCTCCCTCCCCTCCCTCCGTATCTCTGGTCCCAGCATCCACTTTTATCTTCCCCAGTTCTCACTCACGCACTTATGAGGTCTCCTTCCCAGTGTACTCTCTTTCTCTTCCCAAAATCCTGTGGCTTAGTGTCCTATGACATCAGGTCTTCTCTGTTTGAGAGATGGGTGCAGGTGAAATGCACGGAGCTCCCTACTTCTCCGCCATCTTGCCCACCTTAATGATTAACATTCTTACATTTCTTTATTGTCATGATTCCAATATCTATTTATTCTCAGGCTGCAATGAACATACCTTAAATTTCCTTGGCTACAGTACGATTACAAAGGCCTTCATATCCATATGACTTTTGTCAAAGGCATAATATATTCATTTGGGAAGAGAAGACAAGCTGTCACAAATACCACTGAATCACCATTTCAGATTCATCTGTCATATGTTTTCAGTATTTTTGCATCTTCATAGAACAACCCAATAAAGATAGCCATGGTCACTGAGATGGGTGACGATTAGAAGAAAAACGAACTCAGGGGAGCCTGGGTGGCTCAGCCAGTTAAGCGTCCAACTTTGGTTCAGATCATGATTTCATGGTTTGTCGGTTCCAGCCCCATATCAGGCTCTGGGCTGACGGCTCAGAGCCTGGAGCCTGCTTCAGATTCTGTGTCTCCCTCTCTCTCTCTCTGCCCCTCCCCTGCTCATGCTCTCTCTCTCTCCCTCAAAAGTAAATATACATTTAAAAATTTTTTTAAAGAAGAAAAATGCACTCCATTTCAAGTCTCTGTGTGAAATAAAGAATAACACTTATTGAACATCTTCTGATGCAGGCACTGTACTAAGGACTTTCAGATATATCTCGTGTAACCTCACAAAAACCTCTTAAGATAGATACTACTATCCACTTTCTAAACAGAGATATTGAGGAATTCAAGAGATTACAAGGATTTGCCCAAGCTCACATAGAGTGGAGATGTATGCAGAGCAGGTATGTACCAAAAGGTGTATAATAGCAGGTATAACACCCATCAAGCCTGGCACTAAATGTCCTCCAAAGGCCCATCCAATACAAAAGAGAGTAGGGTAAAAGTCTCTCTGTGACTCTTGTCTCTCTGCAATGTTTCCCATTCCCACTCAAGTCTTCCATATCCATTACCCACCCTAAGGTATTATCCACAGGGACAGTTAATGCAGCATTGGTCTCAGGCTGTGGTTAGATTCCAGAGATAGTGAGAAAGGGTTAGAGACGGTTACCTGCAGAGAATTTGCCATCTGCTCCACAAATCACAATGGCTTTTACTGTATGGTCTGTTATAGCTTTCTGCAGTCCCTGTTTTAGTCCATGGAGTACAGATACACTAAAAGAAAAAAAATTACATGAGGCATTAGAATTAAATTTCTACCATCTCAGAGTTTTTTCCTTTCCTAACAATGAAAACTGAAACATACACACAATGAATAAAAACCCTAGTTACTAATTATTAAGTTTTCACTAATTGATCAATTAATAATAAACATGTCAACTGAATTAAGCACTGGGCTAAATAAATGAATAAGCTTTTTTTTTTAAATTTATTTATTTATTTGAGACAGGGCATGCAAGTCAGGGAGGGGCAGAGAGAGAATCCCAAGCAGACTCCATACTGTCAGTGCAGAACTCAATGTAGGGTTCAAACTCACAAACCATGAGATCATGACCTGTGCTGAAGTCTGATGCTTAACTGACTGAGCCACCCAGGTACTCCAGATGAATAAAATTTTCTAAACACAGTATTTTCCTACCCTTTGCTGTAATTTTGGCCACTTAGAAGCAGCACTAATCAATTTTAAAATATTATTGAATGTTTTCTATGTATCGTGAAAGGAGTTTATAACATCCTAGGAAACTACAAAATATCACACTAAGATGAGTACTGTAATGAAAGTACAAAGAAAGTGATATGGACATTCACAGAAGAAATTACTTTCAATTTGTCATATTGGCAAAATATAAGAAAAATTGAAATAGTCTAAAAGAAACAACCCAAGAAATGTGTCAGGGGCTTCAAGTTACCCCAAATATCCAACCTTCCCCACTTTCTTCAAAATATTAAGCACCTAGTTTTTAGCTGGATACATGATAAAGACTGCATTTTCCAGCCTGCTATGCAGTAAAGTCAGCCTAAGGCATTAAATCCTGGCCAATTGGAAGGAAACAGATTTGGTATATACAACTTTGGGAAGAGTTCTTAAAGGATTGGGTTTGCTTTTCTCTTTTCCATTTCTGGTAGGAATAGGAATGTGATGGCTAGATCATAAGCATCCATCATGGACCAAGAGGTGGAAGACATGTAATGAGTATGGCAGAGCAAAAGATAAACAGAATTGGGGACCCTGATGATTGTGGAACCTTCTTACCACTCTAAGACATTTCTATGAAAGAAACTGACCTTTTTCTTGTTTAATCCTCCACTCTTTTGAGTTTTCTGTCACTGACAGCCAAAGCTAATACTAACTAACATAGGAGGCAAAGGCAAGATCTGGGAAAGAAAGGGCATGTAGTAGGTTTTGCTAAGTTTCAGTTGATGAGGGAGTCATCTATAAAGGAGAGTTATAGTCAAGATTGAATGAGTCAGCCAAAGGTAAAAAGAGATGAGTATAAATCCTCTGGATACACTCATTTAAGAAGCAGGAGAATTTTAAAAAGCAGGTGGGGAGAGAGGAGTCAACATGGTGGAGAAGTAGGGGGAAACGAAGTTCCCTCCTCCCTCAAACACAGCACTATTGAGGTCAGAAGACTTGGAATTCCAGGAATCCGGACTATATAGTAACAGAAACATCTCCAGGGGGCCATGGAGACAACATGGTGGGCCATAGGTGTGTGATTGCAAACTGGGAGAGATAAAACGGGCAGTGTAGGCACGGAGAGGAGGGATCCCCTTCTGTGGAGAAAAGGAGGAAAAAGAGAGGCTATGAAAGTGTAGGATTGTATTTGGACAACAGACGGGAGAAAGGGAAAAATGGGGACCAATTTCTAACTGCGAGGCTTTCTCTGCCCTCTTCCTCACCTGGAGAGGAGGAGAGCCAGTCCAGGCTAGGCAGCTAACTCCCAGGCACTGGAGGACAGAGTAATCCTCTGCCTTGAGTGCTGTGGGAAGAAGGCAAATAGCCATTCTAAGGACAAAAGACCCTGCAGGCATCCACAGGCCTGCACCCCTTTGTTGCCAGCCAGAGGCCATTTGTAAGCTAGCTGGGTGGTGGCTACCCCAGAACCAGGGTGTATGGTTACTATAAAACATCAGGGTTTGAATCCTAACCAAGCACCAGGGAGGTGCAGGAAATGGTGGAACTGGCACCCACACGGCACTGTGGGGAGGGCCTGAACAGAGTGGTTTGGAAAACCCAGTCCAGCGAGGAGAGACTGGGGGTATCACCATTTTTCTCTCCATCACCAACAAGGCAGGGTTTCAGGGAATGGACAAGGGGCCACAGTGGAGGCGATACTGCCTGCACCAAACCATGTCCCTCCATGCCTGGCAACTTGGCATCTAACAGAACAAGATTGACACTAAGCAACCAGACAGCACCTCCTCCAGACCAGAGCAGACACCAGTTCCAAGGCATCGTCAGGATCAGTCCAGTGGGTTTGTATTCTCCGATTTTATGCATGGCCCATTCTTATTTTATGTGTATATATACATATTTTTTTTCCTTTCTTTTCTTCCTCTTATTTCTTCCCTTCTCTAGTTGGGTTACTCTGGCTGTTGGTTTGTTTAAGCAGACATTTTTAATCTATTCTTTTTATATCTCTTCTGTATCTCCTTCTTTATTTTCCTCTCTGTCTCTCTGGACTAGCCACATAGTTTCTCTGATTCTCTGCTTGGTCAGTTTTATTTTCTTTTCCTTTCCCTGCCCATATCATTTCTCTCTTTATATGGGATAAGGCCTCTTTCACCAAAACCCTCCTTTTAAAAATTTTTCTCCAGAGATACTTCAGCAAACAAATCAAAGCACATGTGGTAGAAGTTCCAAACCATGACTACGAGTACAGAGATAAAGCAACTAGAGTCTCAAGAACAGAGAGCATGAAACAAACGCCTAAAACACCTCCTGAAGGGCCAGGCCCTGGACAGCATATGACTCCTTTTTAATATAGTAGTGCTCACAGGTGCAAGACTCAAGCAAGCTATTAAAACACATAAGGGACACATGGAGGGGACAAGATGGCAGAACAGCATGGAAGTTTTTTGTTGTTCTCTTCTCCCTGAAATACAGCCAGGTCAGCACTAAACTATCCTGCATACCTAGAAAACTGACTTGAGGATTAACACAACAATCTGTACAACCTGAACCAGAAAACTCAGCAGGAAAATGTCAGCTGAGGAGACTGGAAAGCAAAAGTCCTTCTGGGCACTGTGACTGGCCAGTTAAAGGGCCACTGACCCAGGAGGACCAAGACCGATAGGCCATCCACAACCTGAGCGACTGATTCTGCTGAAGATCCCCAGCGGCTGACCATGTGCCCTGATGAACCAGAAAAGGAAAGCACCAACATACAGATGGGGACCTAGAAGCACGCAAGAGAAAGAACTGGAACATCACAGAAAACTGCAGGCACAGACCTACTGGAGGAGAGAGAGGGCCCCCTGAACAGAAATCAATGACGAGAACAACACCCAAGGAGCTACAAATACAGGGCGATACACTCACACTCACTGACACATCTGCATTCTAGGTGGAAGGACGTTCTCATGTCCAGACTAAACACCTCAGGAGAAGAGTCTGAGGGGGAATGGTCACTGACATGAAATAAATACCAATGGAGAATTAAGACAAAATACAAATCAAAAATTCAAAGAGATGGAAATTATAAGGTGAAATAAAAGAGTTTTGAGGGGAAAAAAACCAAAACCACGTAAGGGACAGAAAACCAGCCAATATGACAAACAGAAGAATTCTCAAAAGAAATTTCGTGAAGAAACAAAAGATAGAGAATTGCTCAAAACACATATAAACAATGTAACTGGGCATGAATTTAGAATAATAGTCATAAGATTAATCGCTGGGCTTGAAAAAAAGCATAGAAGACAGAAGAGAATCTATTGCTGCAGAGATCAAGGAACTAAGAAAGAGTCACAATGAATTAAGAAAAGCTATAAATGAGGTACAAAATAAACTAGATGGAATGACAGCAAGGATGGAGGAGGCAGAGGGGAGATTAAGTGAAATAGAAGATAAAATTATGGAAAATGATGAAACAGAAAAAGAGAGATGAGAAAATATTAGACCATGAGGGAAGAATTAGAGAATTATGTTAGACAAAGACATGTAATAATATCCACATCATAGGAGTTCTGAAAGAAGGAGAGAGAAAGGAGCAGAAGATTTACTAGAACAAATTATAGTTGAGAATTTCCCTAATCTTGGGAAGGAAATGGACAACCAAATCCAGGATGCACAGAGAACACCCTTCAGGGTTAACAGGAATAGATCTCCATGGCATATCATCATGAAACTGGCAAAATACAACGATAAAGAGAGAATTCTGAAAGCAGCTAGGGAAAAATGGGTCTTAACCTACAAGGGTAGACTAATAAGGATAGTAGTAGACGTCTCCACTGAAAGCTGGCCGGCCAGAAGGGAGTGGCAGGAAATATTCAATTTGCTGAATAGGAAAAATATGCAGCCAAGAATCCTTTATCCAGCAAGGCTGTCATTCAGAATAGGAGAAATAAAAAACCCAGAGAAACAAAAACCGAAAGAGTTCATGACCACTAAACCAGCCCTGGAAGATATCCTAATGGGGACTCTGAGTGGAACAGTGCAAAGAGACATCACCACAAGCATGAAACCTACAGGTAACACAATCACACACTGGGACATAAAACAGCCCTCAATAAATATAAAAGAATTGAGATCATAGCATGCACACTTTCAGATCACAATGCTATGAAACTTGAAATCAATCACAGGAAGAAGTCTGGAAAACCTCCAAAAACATGGAGGTTAAAGAACACCCTACTAAAGAACGAATGGGCCAATCAAACAGTCAGATAAGAAATTTAAGGATATATGGAAACAAATGAAAATGAAAATACAACAATCCAAACTCTATGGGATGCGGCAAAGGCAGTCCTAAGAGGAAAGTACATTGCGCTCCAGGCCTATTTCAAGAAATTAGAAAAAGCGCAAGTGCAAAATCTAACAGTGCACCTAAAGGAACTAGAGGCAGAGCAACAAGAACACCCCAAACCCAGTAGGAGAAGAGAAATAATAAAACTCAGAGCAGGAAAAAACAATAGAGAAACCAAAGAAACAGTTGAACAGAAAATGAAACCAAGAGTTTGTTCTTTGAAAAAATAAACAAAATTGACAAACC